AGCACCAGTATAGTTAACTGGTATATTTACATGTGAGCACCAGTATAGTTAACTGGTATATTTACATGTGAGCACCAGTATAGTTAACTGGTATATTTACATGTGAGCACCAGTATAGTTAACTGGTATATTTCTGTGTAACATTGTGTTTCTCATGCAACCAGTCACTCCTCCCACATGAATTGTAAAGTGTGCTCGTGTGTGTTCAACATCCTTAGCATCAAGTTCACATCTCCATTTAGTGAATGATGGGATTTGAACCTCAGCACATCATTCATCATTGTGGGGGAGTGGTGGCGCAGAGGTTAGTGTGGGTGGGGTAGGTCAAGCACCCACACCTGCCCCCACCCTCATTCGCCCCACTCTGGGCCCATGAGCAAGGCCCTTAACCCCCATCTGCTCTCTAAAATGAGTTCTCGTGGCTCTTGGGACGCTGGAGAAAGTTATCAGGACGTCTCACGTCTCCTTTTTGTTACGTCCTAACATGAGCTCCTCGCGTTGTTCCCTGGTGGAGAATCTTTTTTAAAAAAAAGGCAGTTTTGGATCTTTTTACAATTCCGGTCCTGTGACCGGACATTACATCCAATAACGCAGCAATTTCGGGCTTCGCTAAACTGTTTTAAATTACTTAGATTTTAAAAAAAAGTCAGCGAGAAAGCTTGTTTTCGACAACAATTTTCATTCAAGTCATCTGGACATGAGCATGGACTTTGTTGTCATCTGGACAGTTTCTTTTTTTTTTGCTGAAACATTTCACCTTCGATCCAGAAGACTTCATCAGTCAAGGAAACACACAACACAAAACTGATTCTTCCCCCAAACAGCTTACTCCATGTAAGGGAGTAGCATGGACTTTTTTTGGGCTTGTTTTCGACAGTTAATACAGAGGACAGTAAACATGGTGGATCCGGCCCCATCCTATCCCATCAGCCACCGCACCGCGGACAAGTGATGTCACGCTCTAAAGCTCTATAAGAGAGAGAGACAACAGCTTTTCTACAGCTCAGAAGTCAACTCTGAGCCTGTAAGCACTGGTTTTATGAACAATATTCCCAACCCAGGCAGCACGGTGGCGCAACTGGTAGAGCTGCTGCCTCTCAGCGAGCAGGTCCTTGGTTCAAACCCCGGTCCAGGGGCCCTCTGGGTGGAGTTTGCATGTTCTCTCCGTGCATGCGTGGGTTTTCTCCGGGTACTCCGGTTTCCTCCCACTGACCAAAAACATGCATGTTAGGCTGATTGGTAACTCTAAATTGTCCCTAGGTGTGAGTGAGAGAGTGAATGGTTGTTTGTCTCGTTTGTCTCTATGTGTCCCTGTGATGGACTTGCGACCCGTCCAGGGTGTACCCCGCCCCTCGCACAGTGATTGCTGGACATGGGCACCAGCGACCCCCGTGACCCAAAATGGAATAAACGGGTAAAGATAATGGATGGATGGATATTCCCAACCCAAAACAAAACCATTGAATAGTCAAAAAACGACCTTGTTTACAGGAACTGAGTTAAAGAATGGTTTAACTACTCCCAGCTGTGAGGGCTCAGTAAACAGGTTTTAGACAATGTGATCTCTTGCCCCTAGCTGTGAGGGCAAAGAACTAAAATCACATGTCAGAAGATGGAAAGTCTCAAGCTGTCAGGGTGCAGCTGTCATGCAAACGGCAAAGAGGATTCACCTGGGTGCTGGTGTCTGCAACAGAAAACAGGCCTGGGGAAAACACCATTTGTCTTGTGGAATGCTGAGTTGAAAAATCAGATTATTATTATTACTATTATTATTATTGTTATTATTCAGTTCACTTCAGTTTGTTTATATAGTGCCAGACACAAGAGAAGTGGTCTCTGCACAGAAACATCCACATACATTAAAAAAGCCCATTAGTTAAAGTTATGTATATAAGGAAGCAGCAAATTGTGTTGAATCTTCATTTCATCACAGTGAAAAAATGAACTTTAAAGAAAACATCCTCAGGGTTCCTTGCAGTGGACGGAAAGGAGCATGGTAAGCATCTAGACAGCTACTGGCACCATCATTCCCAGTGATACCAAAGTGTTATAATGACCATTCAGGTCAAATGACACAAGATAAGATGGCTCACACCTAAGGACATGTTTCCCTGACAAAAGCATAAACAGCATTCAGAATACACAACCTACAGCTGTGGACAGTGACTGTGGGCCACACACCTCCACACCTCAGAGACTAACAACAAACCTGAGAACTGAACACTTTGACCTGAACACTGAACACTGTGTGACCTCCTGTGGGTCTTTAATAGGTCATGGGACAAATCCTGTACTGGGTTTTTGAGTTTGTGGCAACTCACTGGGGTCAAGCAAACTCCACTTGAGTTAGGTGCAGGATGGTGTCAGGTAATTTTAACTTCATGTATAAAAGTAGCCTAATACTACAGTAAAGTCGGAGTTTAACCTGCGGGCAATTCTGACACCGTTTCATCCATATTTGACGTTAACATGTGATGTAAACATTATACAGCTTACAGGAATGACTGTAGTAATTTAAAAAATTTTGTTCATGTAGGGAAGCTACCGTCTCATCTACCAGGGAAAACTCCAACACACAGGCACTGTCAGTCCAACACTACGTGCGTTTCAATATTTATGAATATTATTTGAGTTATGGATAGTTTTTGTATGCATCTATAATTTTCAGACCACTGGCTGTCTGCCATAAGTCTGCTTTTATTGCTTGTTTTAAACCTAAAAGCCACAGAAGAAGAGATCAGTAGAAACTAAATCCAACATAAATAAGGAGTAAATAGTAAAAATTTAACTAGAAAATTTCTTAAGAGATTTTGAAGGGTCTCAATGCAGCTACTGCCTGAAATTACAACATAACTGTAATAATCTTAAATCAGAATCAATGTTTACATTTTGATGCTTTAGTTGTAGACATGTAGTTGTAAAGACCATAAGATTGACAGAAGACAAAAAGCCTTATGTTTTGATGAAGAATGGATGGATGGATGAACGTGGCTCAAATTCTTGATATATTAGGAGTGGTGGTGCAGAGGCTAGAGAAAGTGGGCCTGTGATCGGAAGGTCGCTGGAAAGATCCCCCATACCAACAACCTTAAAATGTGTTTGCGATAGGTGAAGCACCCACATCTGCCTCCACTGTCACGTCCCACTCTGGGCCCTCGAGCAAGGCCATTAACCCCCACCATCTGCTCCCCTGGGCGCTCTAGATAGCAGCTCTCTGCTCCACACAGAGGGCTGCGGTAGCTCGTGGTCTGTGGTTGTGTCAGGAAGGACATCCGGTGTAAAAATAATTGCCAAATCTTTGTGTGAGTTAATTCACTGTTGTGATCAATGAAGAAGGGAGCAGCTGAAAGAAGAAAAAATTGGGAAGGAAATAAAATGTATAACGGATGAATGAAAGGATGATAGATAGATGAATATATAGATGGATGGAGGGATAAGTTAATACATAAAAGAACAAGTTAAAAGATAGATGGGTTGATGAATAGATGATGGATGGATTTATGGATGGATGGATGGATGGATGGATGGACAGATGGATGGCTGGATGAACAGATGCATTGATGGATGGATGGATGAACTGATTACTAGATGGGTGAGCAGATGGATGGATGAATGGATGGACAGACATATGGCTGGATGGCTGGATGGATGGATGGATGAATGGATGGATGAATGCATGGATGAATGGATGCATGGATGGATGGATGGATGATGGATGGATGGATGGATGGATGGATGGATGGATGGATGGATGGATGCATGGATGGATGGATGGACAGATGATAAGACAGACAGATGGATGGACTGATGGATGGATGGACAGATGGACTGATGGATGAATGGATGGATGGATGGATGGA